AATCGGACAGACCTCAGGGATGTTATATGGACTTGGCTCCTCCTAAACCTTCATCTATGCACAACTCCAGTGGAGTAGGGGTTAAAACCACAGCTTGCAAATTTGCTGAAGGGATAGGGTGGATGGATACAATGCATTTCAAATGCTTCACATTTCAGCTAGCTGTCATATAACACTTAAACATTTGACTCTGTCAATCAAATTCATGTTGACAGTCAGTCCAAACAACCTTTTCCAGCATCAGTAAGATCAAGTACCATGCCGTTGGTGCCTTCAGAATGGGAAAATGTAGCAGCTCAATGTTAGTCTGTGACAAGAAAGCAGGGAAACCATTTCAAAGTAGCCATTCAGTCATGAATTGGTTCATTTAATGCAGTTTAAGCATCCAGCAGTTTTAAATTGGGTTGCTTTACATGGGCATCACAAATAATGAAAAACACAATTACCATTCATTTAGCTGTGGGTGTTTAGTAATTCAGACTCAGGAGATAATTTTCATGCTGCCACCTTTCAATTTGTATCAAGAAGCTGGGCACACTAAACTTCACTATTACTTGGTATCAAAATGTATGGCTATGGCTCCCCTATTTACATGATAAAAGCTGACTCATATCCCTAATTTTCCTTGGTCTACCGGCCTGTTGGTTCCTGCAAGTTCAGCTTCTTTAGACAATGGGAATACAGTCAATCGGGAGGGACAGGCCTGTCTGCAGTCAGCTGTATCTTGGTGTAAAAGGGTCTTCACCACGTTAGCCTGTGGGGCTTGGAGCAAGGTCACTGAAGGCTAGAAGTTGCAGCAGGAGGCAGTTCTTTCAGAGCAGATGAGTCTGGTGAGGACAGGGCAGATTGAGGTGGGACAGAAGCTACAGACTGAGTATCAAAGCTTAGAAAGAATAAGAAAACACATGAGTTCCTCATGTTCAGCCTTGGAAACAGGCAAATGCATAAGAGGGAGATCAAAAGATGATTGTCATGAAGCGAGGATAATTCTTTAATTTTTTTATTCACTTGTGGGATGTGGGCTTTGCTGGCTGGGCCAGCTCTTATTGTCCATCCCTGGGTGCCCTTGAGAATGTGGTGGCGAATTGCCTTCTTGAACTGCTGCAGTCCACGTACCATAAGTAGACCCACAATGCCCTTACAGACGGAATTCCAGATTACTTTAGATGACTCGGCTGGTATTGGCTAACACAGCAAGTGGATGCAAGCGGTATTGATTATCAGAGCTGCAGAGCTCTCTCTTAGTGCAGACGTATAGCTAGTTTCATTGATTTCTGGTCAGTCTCAGTGGCTCAAAGTGCAGGATCAGTGCGTCATTGGCATCCTTGTCGCATCAGCTAAATCAGGTAGAATCGTTACTCAATCCAATCATTGTGTAAACTAATGATTGCTTACTCTGTTGAATGAAATATGTGGCTGACAGATGCGAGTTAGACTGCCAACAGCATATCACACACCGACCAATGACAAAGGAGCTCTTGCTTGCTCAAATCATCTTTAACCTAATTTAAAACGCTCATTGGACTGCGCAGCATGTCTTACTGACAAAATCTCCAGAAACATGGTTGTGATTTTATCGGGAATCCACCAACATAGAAAATAAATGAAATTATTGCTGGCCTCATACCTCCTCCACCAGTTGCAGCATTCGACGGGTGCTTTCCAGAGACTGTGAAGAGAGAGAGAGAGAAAAACATAGTTAGACCAATGTGAAGAAACACAAAGACTTCACATTAATAAACACACATTCCCGAATCAGCACATTGTTGACTACTTAGACTAGACTGTCTGACAATAAAGAATATCAAGACATTAGACGAGGAGCAAAATTAAATAAGTATGTTACCAGAATAGAGATATTCACTCTAGCAGGAAACAGCAGGCAGGACGGGACACGCTCTTCTGGAGCAGAGAAGATTAAGGATGATCTATAAAATTATGAAGAGCTTTGAAAGGAGGTGGCGGATGAAATTCAACATAAAGAGACACAAAGTGATTCATTTTGGGATGAAGAATGAGAAAAGAGGTGGAATCTCCCACTAGACTTGCCTTGGCTAGAGAAGAGGTGCGTGACAGCTGTGTTGTAGCTTCTGAGGAAAAACCACTGCATGTTCTAAGGAATGGCTGTGAGGAAATATCACCAAGGATACTTCAGCCTTCTGGAATTAGTAGCAGAGCAGGAAGACTGGCCATAGCATTTTCCTGGCAGGGTATGGAATGCACTGAATCATAGAATCCCTACAGTGTGGAAACAGGCTCTTCGGCCCAACAAGTCCACACTGGCACTTGGAGCATCCCAGCCAGACCCATCCCCCTATAACCCATATAAGCTACACATCCCTGAACACTATGGGTAATTTAGCATAGCCAATCCACTAACCTGCACATTCTTGGACTGTGGGAGGAAACCAGAGCACCCAGAGAAAACCCACACAGACATGGGGAGAATGTGCAGATTCCGCACAGACAGTCACCCAAGGGTGGAATTGAACCCAGGTCCGTGGCACTGTGAGGCAGCAGTGCTAACCACTGAGCCACCATGCCGCCCTTGATAGTGCCTGATAGCATTGTGAAGGCAGGTTCAATCAAGGCTTTTGAGAAGGGACCGGGGTCATATGTGTAAAGGAAGAATGTGCAGGGCTATGGGGAAAGGCACAAATTTCTCATTCAGAGAGTCAGCACAGGTTGAATGGACTCCTTCCATGCTGTATCAATTTCTGTGACTCTAATAACATGCTCCCACATGTGGGGGAGACAAGACCTCAGGATCATAAACAGGACAGTCATCAACAAACCCAACAGGAATTCAGAAGAAATGTCTTCATGGAGAGACTGGTCAGAATATTGAATGTGCTAATGTGTCATCACTGAGATGAATAGCATAGCTACTAAGATGGGGAAGTTAGATGAACACATAAGGCATAAATAAATAGAAATATATGTGAATTAAGTTAGATTAAAAAAAAGTTCAATGGAGATTTGTATAGAGGATAATCACCAGCACTGATCAGTTGAGTCCGGACTTGTGGTGCAATGGTACTGTCCTTACCCCTGAGTCAGGAGACCTTGGTTCAAGTTCTACCAGCTCCAGAGTTGTGTAATAACATTGCTGACAACAGCTTGATTGGAAAATATCTAACCTAGTTGGGCTCAAAGGCCATTTTCTGTGCCACAAATCCTATATGTTCACCAGCCCAACCTTTTCAGCTACTGGTTACAAATTCCTGAAGAAGGGTCCCAATGCGAAACGTCACCTTTCCTGCTCCTCTGAGGCTGCCTGTCTTGCTGTGTTCCTACAGCTCCATACTGTGTTATCTGTGGTTACAAATGGTTTTGTGTTTCTTTATTGTAGGTATTTTCTATCAGAGATGTTAATATACATCTTTGGAGCAGGTGGGACTTGAATAAAAGCCTCCTTAGAGACTACCATTGCACAAGATGCCCACTGTTAAGTTATTGTTTGAACAGTATTCAATCCATTTGTGAGATCAGGCCATATACGACTCAGGCCCAGGCTATTTCTAATGCTATAATGATGTAATCTGAACCATGCTGGGTATAGGTTGGGGGCTGAGTTCTTCTTCGACTAAAATCCCAAAACCTGATTCCCTACATGTTACTGAGGAAAGAAAAGAAGAAACTCTTGCATTTATATATCTCTTTTCACAACTACCAGTCATCTCAATGTATTTTATATCTAACAAGCCTCTTTATGAACTGTAGTCACTGTTATAAATTAAGAAACACAGCAAGCAATATGCACACGGCAACATCTCATAAGCAGCAATGATCAGTTCATTTGTTTTTGTGATTTTTTTTGCTATTCATTCACATCACAGGTCTCTGACTGAGCAACATTTATTGCCCATTCTTAATTGCCCCTTGAGAAGGTGGTGGTGAGCTGTCTTCTTGAACCGCTGCAGTCAACGTGGTGCAAATGGACCCACAATCGTCAGGGGAAAAATTTGAGGATTTTGGCCCCAAAACCCTGACTGAATGGAGATACAGTTCCAAGTCAGACCGATGAGTGGTTTGGAGGGGAACTTGCAGGTAGTAGTGTTCCCATGTTTCTGCTGCCCTTGCCCTTCTAGACGGAAGCGGTCATGGGTTTGGAATGTGCTGTCAAAGGAGCACTGGTGAGTTTCTGCAGTGCATCTTTTGCTGCACACTGCTGCTACTGATCGTCGATGGCGGAGAGAGTGAATGTTGAAGATGGTGAATGGGGAACTAATACATGCAGGCTGCTTGATTTTGATTGAGCAATAAACATTTGCCAGGATAACTGAGATAACTCCGCTTCACCTCTTCAAAATAATTTCATGGGAGCTTTCCCATCTATCTAACCATACATAATTACCTCATATTTAATATCTCATCCAACTAACAGTATTTCCAACAATTCAACAGTTCCTCAGCACTGACTGTCCAACAGTGCAACACACTGTCAGTAACAGAAACATAGAAACATAGAATATAGGAGCAGGAGTAGGCCATTTTTTTTCTTTATTCATTTATGGGATGAGGGTATTGCTGGCTAGACCAGCATTTACTGTCCATTCCTAACTGCCCAGAAGATAGTTGAGAGTCAACCACATTGCTGTGGGTCTGAAGTCACATGTAGGCCAGACCAGGTAAGGATGGCAGTTTCCTTTCCTAAAGGGCATTAGTGAACCAGATGGGTTTTTCCTGATAATCAACAATGGACTTGTGGTCGGTATTAGACTCTTAATTCCAGATATTTACTGAATTAAAATTCCACCATCTGTCATGGCCCTTGAGCCTGCTCCACATTCGATATGATCGCAGTTGATCATCTAATACAGTACCTTATTTCTCCAACAATGACCCTTAAAAAATGTCTTACATCCTCAGTACTGACTTTTCAACAATACAGTACATCCTCAAATCTGATTCTCCAACAATGCAGAACGTGCACAATACAAATCTTTCAACAATGCAACACACAAGCAAAGCAGACCCTTCAACAATACAGCATACAAACAATACAATACCCTCACCACTAACCCTGCACCAATGCAATACACCCTCAGCACAGACGTAGAACATAGGACACAGAATAGTATATCACGGGAACAGGTCATTTGGCCCACCATGCTTGTGCCAACCATGATGCTATTCTAAAGTAATCCCATCTACCTGCACATGGTCCATATCCATCCATTCTCTGCCTGTTCATGTGTCTGTCTAAATATCTCCTAAACTTTGCTATAATATCTGCTTCTATCACCTCCTCCTCTGGCAGCATGTTGCAGGAACATACTACCCTCTGTGTAAAAAGTCTTTCCTTGCACGTCTCCTTCAAACTTTTCACCTCTCACATTAAAACTTTGTTCCCTAGTATTTTGATATTTTCACCCTGGGAAAACGACTCCAACTATCCACCCTATCCATGTCTTTCATAATTTTATATACTTCTATCAGGTTGCCCCTCAGTCACTGAGACACTAGAGAAAACAATCCAAGTTTGTCCAACCTCTCCGTATAGCTAATACATTTCAATCCAGGCAACACCTTGGTAAACCTCTTCTGCACTGTCTCCAAAGCCTCCATATCCTTCCTATAGTGTGGCAACCAGAACTGCACACAGCACTCCGAATGTGGCCTGACCAAAGGCTTATATAGTTGCAGCAGACTTGCCAACTTTTATACCCAATGCCCCGAATGTTGATTGTAAGCATGCCATATGCCTTCTTTACCATCTTATCCATTTGTGTTGCCCTCCAATAATGCAGCACACCCTCAACACTGACCCTTCACCAATGTAGCACACCTTCACATCTTACCCTCCACCAATGCAGCATACTCTCACCATTGTTACTCCAACAATGCAGTACTCCCTTAGCACTGACCCGCCAACAATGTAACACTCCCTGAGGATTGACCCTCTAATAATCTAGCACAACGTCAGCATTGACCCTCCAACAATGCAGCACTGTCTCAGCATTGATTGTCCAACAGTGTAGCACCCCTTCAACACTGGCAGTCCAACAAAGCAGTAATGAAAGAGTCCTTCTGGCCTTCAGAGCTATAAATCATACACATACGTGTCATTGAGCATTGATCCCAGTCCCCTATGCCACCCCTACTCCACTCCACAGCCTTCAATCCTCTCTCACTGCCTCCTACTCCTTTCTCATAGTTCCCTATGCCATTCCCAAAGCCTACTACCCCGATCCCCAGTCCTCTACTCCACTCCCAGAGCTCCTTTCTGCACTGTTATGGTTTCAAGTCTTGATATGTGGTCAGAGTGGGAAAAGGTTTGGGAAGCACTTGATTAGTGAAGGTGGTCCAGAGCTTAGGCCTGAGGAAAATGGAAATGGAGGGAGTTCAAAATAAAGCCAAGAATCTTATAATAGACATGTTTCCAAATTCAAAGTTATTCTCTTATTAAATTTGTTTGTTGCAAATCACAGACATGGTAGCACAATAGGTTAGCATGTAGCCTCACAGCGCCAGGGACCTGGGTTCAATTTCCAACCCTGGGTGACTGTCTGTGTGGAGTTTGCATGACTCCCAATGTCGGCATGCGTATTCACCAGGTGCTCTAGTTTTCTCCCACCGCCCAAATATGTGCAGGTTATGTGGATTAGCCATAGGAAATACAGGGTCATAGGGTAGGAGGGAGAGTCTGGGTGAGATGCTGTTTGG